CAGGAGAATGCTGTGGGAAATGGTGTCAAAGGCTTTACTAAAGCCTAGGTAGACAACATCCATAGCCTTTCCCTCATCCACTAAGCATGTCACCTTCTCATAGAAGATCAGGTTAGTCAAGCAGGACCTGCCTTTCATAAACCCATGCTGACTGGGCCTGATCACCTGGTTGTCCTGTATGTGCCATGTGATGGCACTCAAGATGAGTGCCATCTATTCCATAACCTTCCCCGGCACCAAGGTCAGACTGACAGGCCTGTTCCCCGGATCCTCCTTCTGGCCCTTCTTGTAGATGGGTGTCACATTTGCTAACTTCCAGTCAACTGGGACCTTGCCAGTTAGCCAGGACTGCTGATAAATGATGGAAAGTGGCTTGGTGAGCACTTCTGCCAGCTCCCTCAGTACCCTTGGGTGGATCCCATCTGGCACCATAGACTTGTGTAGTGAACTTACAGAAAGTGTGAAAAAATACCTAAGCAGAAGTTAGGAAATGGAAGTACTGAGCAATTAGATTACTTCTGCAGCATCATGGAGGAAATCTGTAGCAACTCAGACGCTACTTTTAGTGTCCCTGCCTCTGGTTTTGTTTCTTTAGCACCCCTAGATTGGGAGTGTTCAACCAACAGCCCACAAAAGCCATTTTAGAGCAATAGCTTGAAGCATGCTTGCAGACATTCCTTTTTTGTGAGGACACCTCAGATGTGAGCTGGGAGTGCTCACCTCAGTGTGAGCATGGGCTATGTGAATTGTCAGCTTCTTGCTGCTAGCTCTCACAAGGCCTCTTTTTACTTCCTTCTAAGAGGCACTACCTGAATGCTGGTCATGTGGTGAGTGCTCAGCTAACAATGTAGCATCATGTTCAATGGATGCTTCTACACCATCTGATCAGGATGTCTACATATTGTTTCTGTGAGCAGTATTCGTTTCGTCATGTAAAACCAACAGTGTACAGCTTTCAGGTAGTTCCATGGCAAAACATATAGGCTGGTTGAGCAAAGAGACTGAAACATTTCTGTCACAGACCATTTTGCCAGCTATAAAATGTAAGATACATAGATTACACAGGTAATTAAAAAAAAGAGAGGGTTTTATGTGAAGAGAAGTTAGGGTTCCAAATTATCCTTATGAATAAACTAGTGACTGAATTAAGAATATGCCTTCTAATACTGAGAGTGAAACTGTGTTCCAGAGAAAAATGATAAATATTTCTGGGTATTGCAGACACCCTGCAGCTAATGCAACAGCTATCCATTAACAGTAATGAGCTACATGCCAAATTACATTAAATTTCCTTTTTATTATTTGTAAGGTGAACATTTTATTTTTAACTAATTAGCATATAAGCTTTTGTCACATGATACATAAATGTACAGAAGATCAGGAGGCACCATCGCATTTTCCATCTTACTGTTGTTCAGTTAGTTGGCCCAGGGAGAGATACTGCTAACACTTTCCCATTTCTATCTGTTCCTTTGAAGATATTAAGATGTATCTCTCACCCTCACCTAAGAAAAATGAGCAAAAAAAAGCATCATATTTGTTAGTGACTGTAAATTACTTTGTCTTTGACATTTTTGTCACGCTATCTTTGCCTCTTCAGTTGCAGCTTCTTCTGTACCTATATAGCAATAAAACAGCAGAACTTCCCTGAAGAAACACTGCTAGAAAAGTGTGTGGAGCCTCACTGGCCTGTGTAGGGGTCCATAGTTGTCAAGGCTTACTCATATCAGTGATCAACTATATGCTGATATGTTGATCGTATCATGGATTCTAAACACATGTGATAGCAAGCAATATCACAGTACAGACACCAATACTGTCACGGTGTGGTTTGGCTGTCCTTGTTCTGCACCAACTAGTGTTGCCGTACCTCTGTCCTGATCCCCTCAACAGTCTCTCTCTTCTGAGACTGGGATGGTGTTACCTGCATGGCATCTCTGCTTTGGGTGGAGTTAAAAGCAAACCGTGGTGCTATTCCTTTTCCCACACCTTGTGGTATTCCCCTGTCTTCCCAGCATGGTACCAGAGTGGTAGTGCAATCACTTGTCCCATGAAGGGGAATTAGGAGAAAAGAGTATTATTCTGGGCTGGTGGCTCTTGTGCTAAAGGAAGTGGAAAAAATAAGGAATTCCCTTCCAGCAGGGAGGATGTAAAGTCCTCCAGGGAAGAAGTCTCACAGGGAGACCAGGTCAGCTCTAGGGAGCAGGGTCTGATGAAGGGAGAGACATTCCCAAACTGACATACAACATCCTAAACTGCTCTGTCCTCTTTTCTTAATGGTCATGTAGTATTACTACATTTGTGGCTTCACAAAATGTTTTGTTGTGTATACCATAAAAAATTCCTGATAGTATCATCCTTCAGTAGCTCATCCTGAGCTCATTTTAAAAGGCTCCAAATTAGAGCTGCAAAGGCATTGAATTCAATGAATTATTGTGATTTGTGGTGATAAAAGAGCAGCCAGTGATAATACAGACCCAGTTTTGATTCTATGAATTAAGGGTGGTATAGAAGGACGAGGCTATTACTGAAGTTTTGATGCTTTGCATTCTACTTCTAGATGGGATTCTGCAGTTTGTTGTGCATAAGCCTGGGATTTGAACTATAAACTTTATACATGACAAAAAGATTGTTCAAATTTTAGGTGTTGGCAGAGTTCTTTGAAACATATTCCTGTTCTTAGTGGGTTACATCTATTAAACTGTTTTTATTTTGTGTTTACAGTAACTCTGGTGTCCTTATTACTCCTTTTTTTAATTTTCTATAGGGCTTCAGTGGAATCTTTTAAAAAAGGAGCACTGAGGAAACAATTAGTTAACCTTGCTTCTAGGCAAAAGAGCCTGTTGACTATTGCCCAAACCCAGGAAGAATTAGTCCAGAAAATACAAAATTACAGAAGAACAAAGCAAGTGTTCAGTGCATCATGTTCAGATAAGCAAATCTCAAACTTAGTTATCTCCTGTGGAAATGATAAAGGACAAAGTTTAACTGCTGGTGAAGTCATGTGTCCTGATGTAGTTACATTTAGTATGGGGCTTGGTGCCAGCATGCCTAATGGAAACAGAGTAGAAGCACATCTCTCTTTAGAAAATAGATTTTCAGCTCAGGAATGCAGCCAACATCCACACATCTGCTTGGCTGAGACAGGAGAAAATAAAGAAGCAATTAGTAGCAAAGAGGCTTCTGATCATGCTTTGGCATCCGAAAACGGGGTAAGAGAATATCCTTTCGACAACATGTCAAAGCTGACAAATGCTGTAGAAGTGGTGACATTGCCTTCAGAACTTACTGTTTCCACTGCTAAAACAAAGTGCTCACAGCAAAAAGACATTCATTGTGTAGCAATTGCAGAACAAGGAAACAAGTCTTTAAATCCCACTTCAGTGACCAGTGCATTAAATATTGTAGAACCCCGAAGCACTGTTGTCAATAACAATGTCTGTCAGCCAGGCAGTGACTGCCGGCAGGTTCTTAGAGATGAGAATCTCCACAGATATGTAAATAAGAAAGAAGCTTTCCAGCAGCAGCAGCAGCAGCAGCAAGTAATTTTGTCAACATCTACAAAGAACTTCCCTAATACTCTGCAGCAAATGATCTTTCGGAGTAGTGAAAACTCATTTAATGCCAGCTCGGCGCTTACAAATCTTACCTCAAATACAGATTATCCAGTAAACCTCAGTGAGAAATCTTCCCAGAGCTGTAGTAATCAGGAATGTGAACAAAAACAAGTGAGGTATGGAAGAAAAAATAGGAAAAAGCTTCAACTGATAGATCTACTTGAATTGGGAAGGATTAAGCCAGGAGAAAATGTTTTAGAATTCAAACTGCAGGTAATTGTTGAGATATAATAATGTTAATATTAGCATATAATGAAAAAAACCCACTGAAATGGGGAAACAGCAGTTCTCATGGTTTAGTCTACATCTTTAGCACTTAGTATTGATAATTTTTATTCGTTGGTTACAGATAATCTTTTATGAGTTTTAAAGGAAAATGCTATGGATGATGACTTCTGTCAGCCCATAATTTTAACACCCAGAATAATACATATGTAAAATTTGTGTTTAACTTTCCATTATCAGTTTGTTAACATTTCCTATTGCTAGAACCAGAGTGGAATCGTTGGTTGGTCTAAATTGTGTAATACCTGATTTTCATATTGGAAGGAATGGGAACGTTAAGGTTTTTATGACTTAATGTGATTCTTGGAAGCAACTATCAAGCCCCTCAAATAAAGAAATGTGACATCAAGGATTTCATAGTGCTGTGATAGACATGAATATATGCAAAATTACTTGCTTACATGCCAGCTGGTTCTATAGTTTACAGTCTGGTATGAACCATATTTGCGAAAAAAAAAAGAAAAATAAACCTCTTTTTTTAATACAAAAGCATGTCCCTGTGCCTCCAAATACAGAGCAGATTTGCAAGGCAGCTGCCAGGGGACTGGCTTGGTATTGGGCAAATAATGGAATTATTGACTGAATTCCCAGCTGTGAGCTAGTTAATTTCCAGGGCAACATGTTGATTAAAACATGAAAGGTTCTTTTCAGCCAACTCACCAGGTGTAGCTAATGTAGAAAAGACTCCTTTTTCTGCACCTATGATGCTTGGGAATGCTTTTCTGCTGAGAGTGACCATTTCATGTGGTCTTGTGTTTTGTAACATAAGGCAGCATGAGTAAGTCACAAGCTTCTATGTTGGGCCATGTCATAGGTATATAGGCATGCTTCTTTTCTTTAAAGGACTTGTAATATTCCTATGAACCTCAAGGTGACTAAATGGAAGGATGAAGAATTCAGTATGCTTACTGTCATTTCTCAAGACTGTTATCTGTGATACCGGTTTGATGCATGTGGATCTTGAGGAATTATAACCCTGTATTGAAATTTTGATGTTTACAGTGTAGAGAAGTCAGTGATTTTTACTAGAATGAAAACGACACTCATTTATGTCTTGGAAGACAGTGCTATAGAGATTGAGGTTTAGAAGCCAGTGTCTATTGCATTGCAAAGAGGAGATGATCAGTAAAGTTTCCTTCTTTATCATTACAGAGACGTACTTGATAACAACATACAGCTAGTACATAGTCCTTACTTAAGGTTAGGTTTGGGCAGGCAGAATGCAGTAGACCTAAGCTATGAAACTGTGAACTGGATTGAGTGTTCATCAAAATATTTGGGTTAATTTAGATTCTTATAGACACCCCAAGCCAGTGTATATGGTAGGAGGAGGTTCAATATTTGCTGGTGGATGGTGGATCATTCTCTTATTCTGATTGTTTAACCTCATGCACACTAAGCTACCCTACTAAGTTCTAACATAGTTTACCAACAGCTAATTTTTGCATTATTTAGCTGTGTTAGCCTAACTGAGATCAGAATAACAAAACCATAATTTACTGAACTGTAAACAACTATAAGCCGTGCTTCTGAAGGTGCATATATGTTTGCAGAACTGGGCTGTATTAGCATTATCAAAGAGGCAGTAACAATAAATTCCTTTATACTTAATTTTGCATAAGATAAGGCTGCCATGTTCCTCCTAAAACATGAAAGTGGTGTCCCTTGACATAAGTGAAGTTTTTACGCCAATATGTTTCACCTTTGAATCATTGCTGGAACTTCACTGTGACATGCATTTGTTCCACACATGTAAGACAGATTGTGTTTGAGTAACAGCTTCTTGGTGCACAGACTTGCCTCTTGTGAGTTTCTAGTTCACTGTTGCAAATTAATTTATTCACAGCTTTGTAATATCTAAGAGGAACCAAGATGCAAATACAGTTCTCATAAACACACATAGGGAGATTTGTCCTCTGACAGTGGTGTCTGTGTGGCCAAAACATCTTATTCTGGTGGAATAAATCCTCTTCTTTTACATACCACAGTTTATGATAGTGGCATTAAATTCTTTAACTTTTTTCAGAGAAAAACAGAATTAGTTGCAACTTTTCAGCTATATTGTTCTTCCAACACTTTTTCATGTGTTAAGGATTAATTCAGATTTGTTAATTTATGAGTTGAAAAATATCTTAATTTATCTTTTTTAGGAATTTAGTCATAAAGCCACACTCTTAAACAATGGCAAGATCAGAACCAGTAAGAGACAAATACTTCAGAATCCAGTTCAGTGGGTTAAAGACCTACTAGGAAGTGATATTTCTGTGACGTGGAAGTATGTGTGGAATAAGGTAGGCCTCATTTTACTCCCCAAAATAGCAGTAATAAATAGCAATAACAAATTTCATGAATCTGGATCTCCCTACTGTTCTTAAAGCAAAAGAGGGTACAAGCCTAAATTTTAAAAAGTGTTCTTACTCTTAATGAATAAGCAGCAAAGAAAGAGCTACATAGCTATAGCTGTACAGTGATGAACTAGTCACAAATGTTGAGAGAATGTGGAATGCCCACTCTGTAAGCTATCAGTACTTTGAAAGAAGAGTTTTAAAGATGATTAAGAGACTGAGAGAAAAAGCTGAAAGGTAGTTAGAATAAAAAAGAGCAAGCTTATTGAAATGTCAGGGTGTCAAGGACAAATGTTGCAAAAATACTGGCAGAGTTTAGGGGGCTTTGCAGATGGGTTGTATTATGCTTTTTTTCATTTAGAATTCAAATTAGCAGAATTTCTGCTTGATCTTGACAGACACAGATTAGACTGTTAAGTGCATAAACTCAGTTTTGTAAGAAAAATGAAATTTTTACACTTACCAGAAAAAACACTAGTTAAAATGACCAGTTATCCATTTAGATTTGTTTGTACAGGTTACATATCTTGGGACACAGTTGTCAAAATTTGTTGTTGAAGAAGTGTCAGTTTCTAGTGACCTGGAATTACCATCACAAGAAGGAGAGCCTTTGGGTATGTACCACTTAAAATCACCATGACTGAAAGCAGCGGAAAGTGATTTCTAAAGAGCTTAAATTCCAAAATTCCTCTATTGCTTTCTGATTTTTTTCTGGGCTACATGCTTATCACAGATCTTGGGCTTGAAAAATAGTGCCAGAACTTACACATGATCTCTAAAGAAGTTCGTTTCTTTTCTTCCATAAATTGGTTGTGTGAAGAGAATAATTACTAATGACTTGGTTGCTATGTAAAAAATATTATGTAACATTTTACATTAAAAATATTTAATATATAAAGTGAAGTTTTTAATAAGCTAATTTAATTCTTTTTTATTCTGTTGGCAACTCAGATACACTAACGTAAGTTTTAATCACATGTACATCTTAAAATCACATTAAATAATCTGTGTTGGTGGAAATCGCATTATGCCCAAGCAACAGTAATAACTAGGGGGATATTTTATTCTCTAAAAATAAACAGTCACAAGAAATAGAGTGCATTGATGTGCCAGAATGACATTGAACAATTTTTTCAGAACTGCCTGGCAGCCTTAAGTATTTCAGCCTAATTTTGATAAGTAGTGTGTTCCCAGGGAAGCCCAAGTCCCTTTGACAGGCAGTTGCACTTGGGAGTCCGAAAAGCTTTTGGGCTTTTGTGATTGGTTCTGTTAATTTGATGAGACACTGCACCTCATGTGAACTGGGATACCAGGCTTGCTCTATTCTTAACATACTAAAAGTAAATTAAAAGATAATAATTTAAAATAACTAATTTGATATTCAGACTACCATGTTCTACCGGTATTTGCTTTAGGCTAAGAGCATCCAGATAATGCATTTACATTGCCCTGCTTCAGTAACTTAAGTTTATACCAGGTGTAAGTGACTTAAAAATGGATTTAGTCTCCTAACTTTTTAATAGGCTTTTGAATACTTGCCTAGTTCTTGTAAATTATTCCTCTTATGGAAAACTTATGATAAACACTGTAACTTCTAACACAGAGAAATCCATTTAGTCAAAAAATACTCTCGACAAACAGAAATCAGCCTAAAGATCAGTAAGTGTTTTTTTTCCCCTGTTTTTCACAAATAGCCCAGGGTAATCTGGGAAAGGGTATTTCAAGAAGTTTTTTTGTCAAGTGTAATTTAAGATCATGGTAATGCCTAACCATTAGCCCTAGGTGAGAAATTGAGGGAGGGAAAGCCAAAGTGTTCTCAGTTTCAGTTCCATTTCAGATATTACATGGCCAAATATTTAGTAGGAGATTAAACAGTGCCTTAAATCGTTCCAGAAGAGGATTAACCTGCACTGTTGTATTGTGAGAACAGTTGTGGGCATTGGGCAGCTCTGGAATGGTTTCCAGGCCCGGTTCAGGAGTTAGCTTGTTCCAAGGGCTGTTCCCAACAGGCACTTTGCCTGCAGCAAGCCTGTGAAAGCACAGGTAAGTTTGCTGGTGTGGATGTGAGCTATTCTGTGCCGCTTGCCCGGGGACATTCCCAGGCACTCTTTTATCTTTCTAATATACTTACAGCCTGTGTGTGTTTTATATAGAAGTTTATCCTGCTTTTGTAAAGAATCAATCTTCTTTTTTTCTGTCTATATTAATGACTTGAATTTTTTTCTATGCATCCCTGAGCATCATTAAAAAAGAAGGCTGGGGCCTGATAATTTGAGTGTTTTTGGAGGAGAATGCTATTATTTTAAATACCCCTCCCCCATACTCCTTCCAGCTTCCCATATCTTAGCTCAGTGTTCATTGAGCTACTGTATGAAGAGGATGGGGAAGTGGGAAGAAAACGATGCAGGCAGTGGCTGTATCTAGCCATCTTTTAACAGAAAGAAGCAGCTACCACTGAACTTCGTATAAAGCCCAATTTAGGAAGCATGTCCTAAGAACCTTTACCAAACCAAGGTCCCTAGGCAATACAGGGGGGTATTATGCTGTTCTGTGGCTGCCAGCGTAAGAAATGTCCTACCTTTTCAGCTTGGTTGAGATTAAGGTGCTTCCAGGTTTGTATAGCAGCAGAATTTTAGGTACCTGAGGAATGTTAATGTAAAAAACTTGAAGAGCTCACGAAGTAAAGCAGTCCCAGACCAATGCAGGTATTTAACAGAAGCTTTAAAGATTGTAATTTTGGAATTAGTCATCTAAATCCTAACTAAATTTCACTTTATGTCCCTTCTTTGAGTCTGAGCCTTTAGTCTCTTCTGCATCATGCTAGCAGAAAGCAGGAATTACTGTGTTCAAGTCTGACTGAGAACTAAAAATTAAGAAAATAAACAGTACTTTTAGACTATCTGTATGTAGGAAAGCAGAAGAAACAGTGATTATATGGCTTGGAATTTATTCCTCTGTGCTTTCTGATACATGTAATGATGACATAATGTTTACTAAAAATGACCAAGAATAACAAGGATTCAGAAGCAGATGTCAGCTGAAGAGCTGATGTCAGTTGCTGAGCAGATGTTGGTGTTAGATATTTCACATTGAAATTCCAGCAAAGTGGCTTAAAATAAAAGCATATCCAGTTGTTACAGTAAACGTGATATGTACATTCATTTTGCAGATTGTTATTTCGGGAAGATGGTCTTCGGAAAATGTCATGACTAGTGCAATTCTTGTGCTCTGGCAATCCCTTACTGCCTTTAATAACCATTAGCCACCTGTAAGGATTAGAACTACACTTGCTCACCTTTAGTTATGAAAGACCCCAAAGTTGTGTGGACTAAAGAGTGTTTTCAAGAGAATCCAGATGGTTTCTTAGTGGCTGAATCATGGGAGCTGTTTCAGAAGGTTTATGTTAGTGTTACTTCAGCTATCTAGCATAAAATAAGCAGCTGAGCTCAATAAGGTTGCATGAAAGCAAATGAGAATAGTTTTGCTGTGATCATATGTGATATTGTATGTTTCTGTTTTCCTTGAGACAAGCAGTGAAACACATATATTTAGTAGGCTACTTTTCAAGTTAAATTTGTGTGGCATCTAATGTAATTTTGCCAAGGAAGATATATTTTTAAAAAAGAGAATGCCTCAGTCATCTTAGAGCAGCTATGGCTGGGCTGATGAAGGAGCAGAGGAAAGTCTGCCATTACATGTGTTAGGTGGTGTACGGCTAAGTGAAAATTTCAGCATTTACCTTTAAGAAAAAATAAAAGCGTAACTGCTCTGTGCATTAAACCACCAGTGTTAAAGGATACTGTTTGTTCTTAGAACAAAGTTATCTTGATCTTTCTATGCTCTCAGGAAAGAATTTTATCATGAGGGACCCCAGCAACCGCAACCAGCACCATCGGAGTTCTGGTACTGTCTCCATTGCTCAGCCTCTTGGGAGCTTTGACCTGAGCAATATGCAGCCAATAACCCCATCCTTGCCACAAACAGAAGTTGTGAAAACATTGCTATGTGCTGAAAGAGAAGCAGCTGTTACCAGGGAATTTAAGAGTAAGATTTTTTTAACTGCCTAAAAAACCTAATGGTGGGTGCAAGGGCTATACAACAGATACAAAAGGAAAAAGAAAGTAGTTTTTTGTGTGTGTGCGAGTGAAAGAGTGCTGGGGAAAAATGATGACGCTGCTGATGGGTTGGATTGATCTAAATGACCCAATAAGGAAGTTTTTCAGAGCCCAGTATGTTTGACTCTCCTGTGTCCAAATTAGGATCATTTTGTTATTTTGATGTAGTTAACAAAATAACTCCATATCATTTGAAGTACTCAGTTAAATGTTTCCACAAAATAATAGCATAGACAAATGTTTTCTGGATTTAGATGGAGAAATATGATAAGAAAGCATTACTAAATAATCTCATGTAATGTAATTTAAAGAGAAAAGTGTAAATGTTCCTGAAGATGCTCTGATCTTTATGGACTTGACTGAGCTTGTAACTTTGTGTTTTCAGTATTACATTTTTATGTTAATTGCACATTAAACCCTATCCATAATATTTGTACAATTTGAACAGTGCTTGCTGCACTTTGACCTAGTATTTTTGCCTCTACCACCTTCGATTACACCGCAGAGGGATGACCCTGATTGACCCACAGTGCAAAGTCAGAGCGGTCAGCTCTAGCCCCCACTGTGCCCAGTGTCAGGTAACACTTTGCACTGAAGTGGTTAACAGTGCTGAGTCAGGTCTGCTGTGGGAGACAGTAAGAAGCAAATCAGAGGTGAAGTGCCTAATCAGTGTCAGCCGTTGTAAACTGAAAGTATATCCACACTATAAAGCAATTCTTTATGCTTCTGCAAGTCTATACATAGGCCCTGCAGCTACAGTGCAAAGGATTAAATAAACCCTAGAGCTGAGAATCCTCTGCAGAAAATGCTTTGTTATCCCACTTCTTTTCTTTTTTTTTTTAATAGAAGCAAATAGACTTAGTATCTTAAATGCCAGGGCAGAATATTTGGAGGGAGGTGGTCTTTAAAGTTACAAAAAATAGATTGTGTAGCAGATTGTGGTCACATTTATGTATCAAAAAACCCAGGTTGAACTGCCCTTTGATTTGATTTGAAAAGTTACACAGGTTATGGTTTGTAGGAGTTCTGTTTCTCTGCTGAACAGATGAATAGCCACGTTCATGTTTTCTCAAATACAGTTACTAGTTATAGTTCTGCTTGCCAAGATAATGGTGTTGTAGCATGTATGGTCCTTGCCACCCTATTACCTGAGCACTCAATCCTGTCTGGAAACTGTTAGAGCAAGAGTGTAGAGTCATTTTGTAGCCAAAGGTAACCGCTAACAGACATGTGGGGATTACGCAAAATTAAACATTCATAATACAATAAAAATCAGTAAGTTGGAAATTTACAGAAATATGTTGTTCCATATATACATTTCTGTTTATATCTACTACGATTACCCTGTTAATTGAAGGAAGAAACTGCTTAACATGCAGTATAACCTTTAAAAAATTTAACCACCAGCCCAGTTTCCACATGTCTAGCTTATAGAACCCAAACCTTTTGCATCCAGTTTCGAGGAGAAGCTTTTCAGGTTTCATAGTCTGACCAAAAACATTTTTGAAAGCAAACTATGAGAATCAAACTCCTACTTAAGAAGGAAATCCCTTTAAAAACTGTCTCAGGGTGAGTATTTCATTGAGTCTCTTAAAGGAAGCTTTGGAAGAGCCATGAGAAGCCCCATAGCCCATAGATGGATTTGCTGTATTAGTTTGCTCTCCACATTTGTTTCAAAAGAACCAGTCAGATACACAATGCCATTGCTGCCTTACTTCACGCTAAATGAATTCTGAATGTAAAGCTCAGCTGCATAAATTGGCTTTTAACTAGTTTACTTTCTGGACTTCGCTAGTCCTGGAAAATGATAGAAGAGTAATTTCTGTTTTCTTGCTAGTCAATCTTACCTTCTTGTCTTGTCCACCAGTACAAAGTTGTGGTGCTGAAACTGCTGACTTGGCAGGAGGATATTTAAATCCAAATGAATTGCTCCAGTAGAATGAAACCAAGATACTAAGAATTTCAATACCTCCTAGATAGGAGTAAAATTGGGCTACTAGTAAACATCGCGTGTGCCTATTTGCAAGAATCTTCCATTAGACTTTTAATTGTAAAATCCTCAGAAGAGGGATCTCGTATGCATCTTTGAACTGGTTGAAGATATTACTTTGGTATTAGTCCAAACAACAAATCTAGCCCACTGTAGTACATTTTTCGTGCAATATGTTTAAAGCTCCATGTAATTATAATGCAAAGAAATGTTACCTGTTCTTGAAAGCTTGCAATGTACTTTGTGCTGCATAGTGCTCCAGTTCAGAGCCCCAGATTCTGCTTAGGCTCAGACAACTATGTCAGAAACTACTGGAAAACTCTACTATTCTTATCTTTATGTTTTTGGAGGAAAGCTAGAAAAGATGATGAATGTTGTTTAGTGATTCAAAAGTCAAGATGTAAACTGAGAACCCCAAGTTTAATTGTATGTTTTTTTAACAAAATGGCATGCCTTAAAGGAGCTTGATTCTTTACATCTGAATTTTTTGGGTTGGGTGTTACTGAACTAGTGGCTCATCATGACCATCAATAATGGCAATAATAATATGGAAGAGGAGAAGTACTTGGAAGTGCTTAAAAAAACCCCAACAAACAAACCACAGAAAAAACCCAAAAACCAAAAACCCCACAAAAACAAAACCCTAGCATCTAATATATATGTTTTCCTTGTTACCTGTAGCAGAATATTCATCAGCTACACAGTGTCTCCATTTATGTGACTGTAAAAGACAGGGAGATGAACTATACATGCTTTGTATTTTGTACTTTGGAAGCAAAGTGAGATTGTAGACAAATACTTCTATCCATAATCTTTTTCCATCTCAGAGTTATCTCAAGGTGCAGCTATTATACTGTTTTCTCTTCTTTATGGCTTGCAGACAAAATATTTAAAAGTATTTTCCACTACGTTAAAGTTCCAGGCATTTGCTTTAGGTAATTACATAATTTACAAAGGAGCACATAGTTCTGTCAGCAGAATTTACAAAGTTGTACTTTCCAGTAACTTTACATACCATAACTGAAGTATAGGCTTCCTCCATCTGCACACTATTCTTTTCCAAAATCCTCTACCTGTTCTTATTTGATTATCAGCAAGGTAGAAGGTAGAATGTCATGTGACTGACTCAAAGTTGAGCTATGTGGCCAGCAAGAGCAAAACAAAATTCACTTTTTAGGAGGCCAAAAAGGAAAAAAAAAAAAAAAAAGAAACAGCTCTCAAGGACTACATGCCATGGAAGCCAATTCTAAGAATTTAATGTCTGTATTTCTTATCTGTCAGTCAGGTTTTTCTAAAACTGGCAAATCACTTCAGAACTAACTACGTGACAGTGTGATTGCAGAGAACCATAGACTAATGTAGGTTAGATGGGGCCTCTGGAGGTCTCTGGTCCAACCTCCTGTTCAAGTAGGACTAACTTCCAAGTTAGGTAAGGTTGCTCAGTGCCTTGTCCAGTCAAATTCTGAATATCTTCAAGGATGGACACTCCACAACATCTCTGTACAACATATTCGTGTGCTTAACCATGCTCATGGTGAATTTTTTTCCTCATATATCTGGTTGGAATCTTGCTTGTTAAAACTTGTGACCATTGCCTGGTTTTGTTGCGTACAGAAACTTCATTTCCTTAAGAAGCCTGGCTAAAAGTAAGTAAACTGACTCCTAGTCAAGAGCTTTAAACACTGGCTTTCTGGCCTTTTTACTTCGTGAAACAAGTTGTAAAAGAAATCCTTTGATAACTGACCCATCTTCTTAATTCATGAGATGCATGTCTAAAAAGTTTTGAAAGTACTATGTACTTTCAAAAGTACTTTTAAAAGTACTTTTGAAAGTACATATCTACATAGATAACGTTTTCATCTGCTTTGGTGGTCCCATGGAGACTGAGGGAAGACTAAGACAAACAGAACTGTTGTAGATAATCTTCCTAGAACACATCTATCTTTTCTTATCTTACTTATGAAAGCAATAAATGAAAGGCAGTGTGATAAACAGCAAGCTTCAAGAGGCAGTGGCTTCAGCTACTGCGTTGCTTGAAACAGAGAGAAGACAGACTTTTTTGACATCACACTGTGGCAATGTCAAATGAAAGCATTTAGGAGACTACCTGATGATTTTACTTTCATTCATACTGTATCACGCTTCTATATTATTTTTTTTCAGGAGTGACTTTTAACAAAGTTGGGACAAAGCTTCTAAACAAAACGATTCAGTCTTTAAATCACCACGTGATTAATAGCCTAGGAGAAGGCTCTAGAAGTTGTTCTGAGGCTGTACATAAAACCCACCAAATGAGTCACAGCTCCTGTAGATTTTGCCATTGCATGAAAAACATGAGCTACTGGGTTTTCTATCAAATAGCTGTTCTGACCTGAGCTGAAACTTGATTTATACTTTCTCTTCTGTTTCTTCCAATGTGCATCTCAGTGTGCACATTCAAGAATTTTAAAGCGTTCTGTTTTTAATTATCCAAGGTTGGCCCTGGAACTGCTTCTTATCCACTATATTGGCACATTAAATTGAGGTTTTTTAAAATGGTTAGAAATAATTTTAGAGAACCGTGTATTTTCCTTCCAAATGAATATACAAGTGAATCATTAATAACTCAAAATAATGAGAAAGAAACGTATGATGGGAACCTGCACCCTGCTCGTCATACCAAGAAACGGTGCCCGATGAATCATTTTAAAGCAATCTTAGTGCCTTTTAATAAAGGATACTAGTGAATGCATTTGTTGTTGTTGAACTCAGTAATTTGGTATTTAAATAGAGTGATTGACTTAATCCAGAAACTGAAGGGCCATCTGGACAGCTGTCTAAAAATGTATGTGTGAGAAAAATGGAATCATCCATTATGTTTTATTTTAAAAGTACTTCTTTTATGATGTTTTATTTCTTCATAAATTCAATCTTGAATATAGATTCCTTTATGGGAGGCT